GATTCAAAATATCAAATGTAGAATTGACGATATGGAGGACAGGAGGTGCAGGCAATAAATACTGGAGATTTAACATGAAGTTTGCATTCATAGTCTATAAAGAGTTGTATTTGTCAGTTAATATATAGTGGGATTGGCATCATGTCCATCTTCTTTCAAACTGTTTGTTACTTTATGTACATAGTGAGGGAGGCAATCTCTCAATTTTATATAAAAAAAAAAATGTTACGTACATTAAGGAGCTTTTCCTGTAAACTTCAAATTTGTTATGATAGCTCAACCATCTTTGATCTTTATGTGTAGCCCAGCCACAAAATAATTCCATCTTTGTTTCCAACTGCCCCTTCAGTTTTACAAAGTAACAATGGACAGGCATTTGTTTGGTGTTTTAGCACCATTAAGAAGATCAAAACTCCCACTTTTATGACAGGCTTTCTGCACGTAGCTATTAGGTGAAAATTCATTGGCCTGGCCATCTGGAAAAACCAGCAAAGTCTCTTGATTTACTGCCTCTTGCTATAAAACAGAGCCTTTAGTAAAGGAAGGATAAATAGGTTAGATAACTTCAAAGAACCCTATTTTGTCTGGGACAGATAGGAAGAGTATAGAGGTAATATGAAGGTAGTTTTGTAGTTGTGTGTCTTATGGGCTGAATCTGTGCAATGTTTGTCATTCCTTACCAGTTGTTGGTTTTTACTAAAGTGATTTGTAAATTTTAGGAAGTTGCAAGTTTCTCACACTTTTTAGTGCGGAATATATAATTTGGTTTGACTGCCAATTTGACACGGGTAATGCTTTTAACTGCAGTTGCTAATCACAGGCCCTTTTTAACTTTGCCATGTTGTAACACTGGGATAAAAAAATCTTAAAAGGTCTTGTTTTGAACATTTTTTAGGGATGTCAGGTGTGGGCTCTTTTAATTAGTAAGGATAGTCCCTTCGGGATAAGTTATATAGTTGAAAACATTATCAAGTTAAATTTTTTGATTAACGTTCAGTCACAGAATGTAAGCTCAGAAAAGTTGAATTATCTCTGGATTAGATTCTTAATTTTGATGCTGTTTGAAGGTTCACCTGACTCTCAGTTATTGTGAATAGCCTGATATTATTTTATCAGGGACAATAATAAAAGTTTGACTGAGGATGATTTTATGTGATTTCATGTCATGTGAGATTTAAATTTGTATGAATATCGAGCACAGGAGATATGGCGTATTGACAAAAAAAAGTAAAACTGTCATGTTTCATAGCTTTGAAAAATAGATTTTGTTTTTCTGCATTTCTTCCATGGAACAAACATGTTTGACATTCTTGAATATGAAGAAGATGAGATATTTGAAAGGGTGAGCCATTCTGGCTTATCTCTCACTGCAACAGCTGTTTGCAACAGTTTAATGTCTTCTCAGGTCACTATCTTTTTTGTTCAGTAATTATACCTTGATTTGAATCTTTAAAAAATGAACAATTTAGTCACATAAAATCTCCACTCCCCCCCCCCTCCTCCCCTCGAAACCATTGCTTCTGTTAATGGTCTTTTCCTGAGATAGAGACTTATATAATTCCATTTCTTTGTTCTGGAAAAACAATTTCATTAATTTTACCTGGGGAATTTTGAAGCAAAGCTCCTTTTCCCAGCTGTTGCACATGTATTGACGGGAAAGGCTTAGGTTGCTATCATGGGGTATTGATCAAATACCTTAGAGGATATAGAAATGCTCAAGGAATTTTCCCACATTAGTTACTCAGAGAGAGAAAAAATTTCCTTGAAAGTCAAGAGTTGCAGACGTTTGTTTCCAAACAGCTTTTCTCTTCATATCATGTGACAAATTAATTAGCATGTATAAGTTTGCTTGTGATGATTAAAGTATTGTGCTCCTCTTCACGGAAGTGGATGACAAGATGGAAATGTATTACTATGATTTCTTAGTATTTCAACAGTGGATGTTAAGGGGCAAATCGCTCGATGCATTTGTTGCCATGACAACAGAGAGGGATGAAAAACTCTTCATTGTTAGGGGCACTAATACATTGTCTTCTATTCCATCGCCAACTATTTTGGTTAAATTCAGAGCATGATTTTCACCAAACTCCATGGTGAATTTTATTAAGTATGTTGGAAAATCATTACTTAGTTAATTGTATACAAATGGTATGTGGTATGGTACTGGTGATTCCTTATGTGAATAAGTACAAATCACATATTGTTTTGTATATATTTTGACCAATCAGTGAGCAGCATTATCATCTGGGCTTGATCAGTTAAATTACCTTCTTAATTGAAATCCCATTGTCTTGGATTTCTTTGTGTTTATTTAGTCCTGATATTACAAGAAACTTCCCTTTGACTGACCAGTGGATGGGACTTGAGTGAAACACATTCACACAGGCATAACATTCACTTCACTGAATTGTTGTTCTAAAAATAAAGTCAGTTTTTTCCACTTTAAAGAAAAACTGGCAATATTGCATCATAAAGGAAAATGTTTACTTGGAAGTTTTTCATCTTTGGTAAACAAGTGAACCATTTTATCCTTTATCAAAACAAAGTGATCTGTCACTAATGACTTTCATTTGGAAAAAAATATTTCATCACTTTTAAAATTTTTAATTGTCGGACATTTTTTTCTCTAAGTTAACCTGGATATTATTCAACCATAGTTCTCTATGTGGTTGGTCTGCCCCTTCTTTTACCAAAGCTCGCCAAGTTTTGAAGACATCAGCAGTTTGATGGAGTAAAACTTGTGGTTTTCTTGTGTGTTTGGCATAATAAAAATGCTGCTGGGTGAGTCACTCCATGCTTGAATGTTGTGTCAATCAAACAACTTTTGTGTTATTTCATTTCTGTAACTCGACTCATAAAAAACCTTGACCAGAAATGATAAAAAGTGGTGGCTGTCTCTTTAGTATCTGTCTTCAGCTGAACAAACAGACAAGGCAAGCTAATTATAGGAAGGGCAGAAGAAAGTCGAGGATCATTCTGTAATTAGGAGGTGTCATATCAATTTACTAAACCACTCAGAGATGTAACATGATGTAAGAAAATGTATTGAAAATTAATTGTTAAGAATCCAGATTAAATTGTAAGATCTGCATTTCATATAAAAGATATTTGCTCAACTTTTCATGCATTTCATCTATTGGAATATAAGTTACTTGTGCGAAAAAGACTCAAGAGGCTTTATGTAGATGAAAGACAACAAAGGAGGTGAGAAAGAAGTCCCATTGTAGCTGAGAAGGAAATGCCCCCCCTTGGTGTTGATGGATCAGTTAAGATAGTGGACAAGATAGCCATTGCCTCATGCTCAAGTATCCAAAACTACCACATACTGTGTAAGGAAGCTGAGGTGTCATCAACATATTGTATTAGAAGCTTGGGAGTTGGCTTTGAAGTGCTGGTCCTCAAGATGACATTTGTCTCTCTCTTCACTCACTGAAGTGGACCTAGTGGACAGTGGATGTCATATCAGATATCTGGTCAACATGTACAGTGGACTTTATCTGCTCCCTTCCTATATCTTTCCATTTGTGCAGGTAAAATTTCTATCACATTCCAAAATTGGTTTGATATGAATTGTGAAGGGAAAACCTTATAGTTGCTTTTAAAGAGAAGCAGTCTCTAAATTCAACCATGAACATCAGTGAAGGGCTCGTGGTTGTATTTTCGTAAGAATAGACAAGCATTATATGTGCACAGGTAATGGTAGGATCTTAAGGTGTATATTCTTGGTAAAATCTAAATATTTATGCACATGGATAACTGCATGCTGCCTTCATCTTCCTATAATCAAGGCCATTATGTATGCATGTGGAGTCGGGGGTTACTCAGTACTCTTATGGGGTAGTCCACAGATCCAGCTACTCTCAGTCAGTTCTGGCACACATCATAACTGGTATTGTTCTGGAGAATCGTCCGATTGATCATAGTTATACATTTTTTTTGTGCACGATGCTAAGAAGATGGTATTCAAAACCTTGCAAACATGCTGCTAAGGTAAAGTTGAGGAAAAGGATGGATTGTTTGTGAGGTTTGAATTTGGTGTCCCAATGTGGGTTATGATGTAGCGTTGGTTTGCACATTTGTGCTCTTGTAGTAAATATGAAAATCACCGAGAAAGAATTTTTAAGTGATTTTTTTAGTATGGCTACGTTTGTTGAAGGTTTGGCAGTGCTATTTGTTAGGATATTTGTTAGCCAGTTAGGCAGGTTTTTCACTGGAATATTTGGATGATATTGACCCATAATCATACACAGGGTTCATTATTAGTTTTGTTTACTTTTCAAGTAAATTTTGATGAAACGGAGATAGAAAAGGTCCACCTATTCAAGTGTTGAGTTTTGCATAAGAATTGTTTGAGAATTGGATGGGGAAAAGAAGTAAACTGATGCAAATTTTGGCATGTTCAGTACAGGGTTGTTTAGTTAATGTCCAAACAGTTGAAAAGGAACCAGCCCTGCAAATCTTCATAGTTTTCTCTACCAAACAGAAGTAACGCTGTCTCCTCTGAAAATACAAGATTTCTTGTGTAAATAATAAGCAAAGAGAGTTTTAAGTTGCAACAACTCCCTTTTACTCCGGTCTACAATACTATCATTTAAGCCAGCAAACTTTGAGTGCTATTAAATTTGTGTAATTGGAGTAAAAAAAGTTACTGTTTTTCATCACTGCAGCAGGCTTAGTATTTAAGACCTACTTTTTGTTCCTTTGATCTTCTTGCAGAAAGGCAGAATGAGCAAATTATGAGTGCATTCTAGCCTGCAGTCTCCCTCTCTGTAGTATTGGATGGGGAAATGGAGTAGTTGCAAATTTTTATTCGTTTCCTGAAGTATTTTTTCTTTGTGACATATTTTCAAAACCTTATAGAAGGTCGTTTGTGTATCTTTGGTTGATATTTGAATGAAAGAAGATGACATAAAATCAGGATTTAATTTTAGAGAGACAGAATTTTGTAAACAAAGTTTTCACTAATGTTAGATTTTATGAGCATGTCGTTATCTTTGCAGTACGAAGAATTTGGTCAAGATTCTCCAAGGTACACATCACCCAAACCAGGGTTGTATGGAGAACCACCATTCTTTATGGGTACGTTGACATTTTATTTATTTTTTATTTTTAATAATTCTTTGGCAACAATCAGGCAGTTATAAAAAAATTAAATGTATGATAAAACTTGTGCAAATATGTTTATTTGTAAAGATTCTTTGGTATATGATTGATAAAAAAAAATTAATATATTCTAATTTCTGAGAAATGCTGAAAAATCATTCTGTATGTAGCATAAACACTCCCTGTTTACGTGTTTAAACTCGTGTCACGAGATGATTACAAATTATTTGCTTTACTTGTTTCAGACGGTACACACAGTTCAACAGATTGGCCTTCCGGTAGTTTAGCACCTTCATCATATCCTTCTTCCATGCTTCCAAGTACACCCCATTATTCACAACCAACATCATATAGCAGTATACAGCATCCACATGAAGCACTGGTAAGTTAATCGAAATTAGTCCAAAAATAATTAAATTCAGATTTTGGTATTTTGCTGATCACTAACGCAGATCACTGTTGTAATTTTTTAATGATTTGGAAAATGGATCTAACATGCAATATTATCTCTTTACTAGAAACTGAAAAATGATATTTTTGTTCTGATAGACTTATTGAAAATTTTGTAGCATCAGAAGTTTAATGTGGCAATTTATTATGATAATTATGGCTGGCAGGAAACCATTGCTTATGCCAGAAAGTATTTATTTGAAATGTATTTTATATCTTATATCGTATTGTATTTTCAGGGCTACACAATGTCCCCAGCTCAGCATGGGGCCATAATGGCCCAATCAGGGCTTCCACCACTGTCCACGTTCCGTGACGGCACAGTGCCTCCCTCCTCCTCATACTCCAGTTCATCGCCAAACATGAACGGCTCAGACTTGCGCTCAGGCCAAGGAGCGGACAGAACGCCCGGGGATGCACTGGGAAAAGCTCTTGCATCTGTGAGTTCATTTTTTTTTTTATATATATATAGGGGAAAAAGTTTTTATGACTTGAATTGATTTTTTAAGCAGATTTATAGATTATTAGTTCAAGAAATAAAGTGATAAATTTTCCAAGACCTGACATTGAAGAAACAAAGCAAAAACTGATGAATGAATTTACAAGAAAAAAGAAAGGAACTGTTTGTTTCTCCAATTATTGCATAAATGACAAAAGATAGATATTCTAGGAAATATCAATGCCAGCAGTTCATTGACTCAGAGAGCAACGCAATTTAAGAACATCTAATACCCTACACCTTCCACTGCCGTGACCTCTCATGAACCCTTTTTAATACTCAATCAGTGTCAATATTTTTCTTACACATTTGAAGGTGGAAAATTGTACAAATTTGTTTAAAAAGTATGAAATATTCAGGCACCATTGTCTAAAAGCAATCGATATGGGAGGTTTCTTTTGCTAGGTTAAGGTTAATATCCCAACAGATATAGGTCAAACAGCTGTCTTAATGGATGAAGGGATTACCAATCTGGCTCTGTAGAGAGTATAAACAATAGGTTACAGAGACAAGGATAGAATACTTATACCATCAAGTTTAGTTGTCAATAAACATATCACAATGATAGAGTGATAGGGAGTTTATCAGATCTATCGTAGTAAAACACTGAAACTATGGAATTGATTTTTGACAGAAGGGGAGGGGGATAAGCTGAAAACTGGAAAAGTTTGTCAAGAAAAATCATTAGAAGCCAGCTGTAAAGTTTCTGGCTGAGAACGTGGCAGGTGCATCAAGGTGGCCCTGGGAGGGTGTCTAACCAGCGCCATGCTATACCTGGGTAATGGGCTGCCATTGAGAATTCAGGTTCCTTGTGTGAGGTAATTAAAACCACAGAAAACAATTCAGTATTTGCTAATACAGAGCAGAGCTGAAGGCAGCACTGGCAGACAGTTCTTATGCTTGATGTGGTTGAGGAGTTAGAGGAAAAAGTTGGGCGAATTTTAGAATTGTTCAAGCTTCTCGTGCCATGCAGATGTATAGTAGCGGCAGGGATCCGGGGACCATGCTCTTGTTCCCTGGGTATTGGAATTATCAGGTAGAAAATATGTCTTTTTAAGTTATACTGAAATTTGGCGCAAAAATTCAGCATAGGAAGGGATGGGTAAGATATTTTTGTTGTAATGCTGGTATGATGTAGGTGCCTTAAACATGCATTTTCAATTTATTTTTCAACATAGAAATAAATATACAGTTTGTCTTTGTGGGTGTTAAGGACAAAAATAGGTTAAGAAGCAGCATCTTTTTCGATAGTGTTTTTGCAAAGATTAGGTATTCAGAAGCATGAGGGAAAGGAAGTGTAATAGATTAAGACATGTAGACAAAAGCTGCCAGGCTCACGCAGTCTTTGAAAATTTGGAATAGGTATTTTATGACTCATGAATTTCAATGGTGACTCAGAGCTGAAGGGAAAAAAGTTCAGTATAAATGCTATCACTAAACCATTAGAAAAATTATACGAAGTGCATTAATATGTAGTGTTTTTTCCATAACACCAAAATATACTTAAAAAAAAAAGGTTTCTTCATGTTTAAATGATTGCATTTTTTTTCCAGATATATTCCACTGACCATACAAATAGTAGTTATGGTTCAAACCCCTCCACACCAGTTTCCTCACCGCCCCCAATGTCAGGTAAAGAAGTTTGTATAGTGTAAACATTTTGAAGCAGTGATAAATGATTTCTTGTAATGGTAAGACAGTTGCAATGCCTTTGTTCTTGACAAGTTACACTGGTAAGGATGCCTGTTCTTGACTTGAACAAAATTAAAATAAAAAAAAATCTACATTGTTTTAGTGTAAATGTGTTTTGTCTTTTACTCTCCTGTAATTTACTCACTGTATGTGTCTCTCATATTATGTTTGGTTTGATAAAGAAGATAATTATGTTTGATTTATCCTGTTGGTTTAATTGGCAATGATTTCCTTCCCCCTTCTTTAGGCCCTAACAGTCAGTGGTCCCGAGCTCCCACACAAACCACTACCTCGCCCCATTATGATGGTCCTTTAGTCTCACTGGTAAGTTTTCTCATTTTATTACACTCTTCATATTTATTTAACTTCACATTGTTTTGTTTGATTGATGTTGATAAAAGTTTTAAGTTAACCAAGCTTTTCTGTTTTCAGTGACATAGAAAAACATGCTGTGTAGATTTTTTTTTCCCACAAAATCAGTGAATAATATAGCTCTTGCCAGTATTAAAATGCTGAGGCTCTTCTCTCTTTTTTTGTCCACTAGCTCTACTCCCAACTTCAGATTAGTGTTGCCAAGTTCTGCTTGACTGAAACCCTTTGCTCTATCAATCAAAACAGATTAACATGTACAACAAGCATTTCTGTAGCTATAAAGTAAAAAAGGGGGTAACACATAAAATCAACTTTTATTTGCCAGAAAGATCAAACATCAGACAGAAAAAAGTTAACCTTAAGGAAGAATCATAATTCAATTATGATTGTGTCCATTAAGTGTGAAGTTGATTGATTTGGGTCTCTGTTTTAGATGTAGGCTTGAAGAGATGATTTAATGTGGACCTATTTCAAGGAGGATCCTTATTATTGATTGTGACATTTTCGTAAAGGAAATTGTATGACATTCTAACCCTAGTATCATTATTATCCTCTCTGAAAGAGTCAGACAGTGATGTATAGATAAGATGCAGTCTTGTGCAGCAAAGCATACTGGACTCTGAAATGAAATTGCTGTTAAACCAGTGGCCTCAGTGACTTCAGCTCTTACAGGCTTGTACAGTTTTAATGAACAAGCTTTATGTAACGTTACAGATAGGGATATGTTCTTTTAGAGTAGTTGTATTCTGTCTCTGTACATACACAACAACAGTAATTTTACTAATCTTGGGGAAAACAAGTGATGTTCCTTGTAAATAAGATTTTTTTAAAAAAAAATTATTTCTTATTATGCATGAGTAGAATCTGCCCTAGCATATTGTTCTTATGTATTGTCTGCATGTTATCACTGGTGGTAATGTATCTTTGATCTCACTCTTCCATGCAGGCTCACGTTGCCTTACATACCAATCACTGTTGGTCAGTCACACACAACATTTCAACCTAATCACCTTGTCTACTGTTGCATGCTCTGTACTAACTGTAGTTTGTCTTCCTCTCTTCTGTATATCCACTGTAGCCGTATGATGAACAACTAGACGATGCAATACATGTGTTCCGTGCACACGCTGAGGGTGATGGCATCTTAACTGACTTGGATGGGGTAACTTTTGAACATCTTCACTCGGTGGAGGTTGTGGTTTTGGTTTTTTTAGCTTGCAGGCCAGCTGCATGTGGACAGGGAGGCATGTCTTGTCTATGTTTGTTCCTTTTTTTCTTTGTTGTCAACTTTGAACTGTAAACATGCTTTAATGATACTGGAGTTCATTTCTTGAGATATTCGTGTATCATATGAAGTGAGAAAGACAATTTCTCTGTGACTCACCCATCAACCCTCCCACCTCCCCCCTTTGTGTCAAATATTATAGATGGTTTGTTATGTTTGTCTCTTATCGAAATTTATAAATGCTACAATATATCATCAGCTTTGGCAAGCAACAATTGGAATGATTGAGAATCCCAAGCTGCAGGAAAGTCTACAACTGTTTGCATGTTTTGCTGTCTATGTACAGTTCAATCTGTGGCTTGATGTTGCTTTGTGGCAGTGGATCAGGCAATGGGTTAGTGATAATGCATGCCCGGAGGCTTAGAGTTAATGGCTTCTCCACAGACATTACCAGGGAGTAACAGTCTACAAAAAAAATCAATTTGACTTCACGTTTTATTGAATTCCAAGTGGTTGTATACATAGAGTTGCATGATTTGTCTCTCAGTAGCTATTAGCTATGGTTTCCATGCCTTTTTCACCCTAAGGATTACTTATATTTCTTATGAAAGAGATTAACTAGGCATGCATGCATGCACAATATTTCTTAGGAAAGAGATTAACTAGGCACGCATGCATGCACAGATAACTCTAAACCAGATAAGTCGTGCCTTCTTTCATGTCTACAATAATGAGGCAATCTCTCTTCATGTTGTTTCCAGCAAAGGGGTATGGAAGAGCGACTTGATAGGCTAGATGATGCCATACATGTTTTACGCAATCATGCCGAGGGCCAGATGCCAGGGATGCCAGGAATGCCAGGCATGCCCGGCATGATGCACCCCCCACCACATTCCAATGGCATGATGGGATCCTACCCAGGGATGAATGCAGCAGGACACATGGACTCACACTTGGTAAGGACAGCAATGGCCTCTGTTCATGGTGCCTAAATACTCAACCCCCAGATAAATACTCGACCACCACCACCACCCAACTACCCCACCCCCTTGCCGCACCATGGCAGCAAATAACTTCATACACTTTAATAAACAGCTTTTTACGTCCTAAGGAGAAACACAGTATATTAATGTATGTTCATACTATTTCTTCAGTCAATTACAGCCGAATATACTGTACAAAATGCCTAATTGGTTTTTGGTGCCATTAATTAGCTGGACAGATTCAGTAGGGTTTTATTGTGGACTTGACACGTACCGTCACTTGTCTCAAATTACTCTTGCAATATCAGTCTTATAATGAATAGATCTATAGTCTTTCTAGTTAAATGTCCCTACCTCTCGTTGTTATCTGATATTTTCCCTGTCAGTGAGAGCTGACGAAAGTAAATGAAAATATTAGTAATAGAAACACAGACCTTTGTTCAAATTTGACAAAATGTGTTCTGTAAAATCTTGAAGTTCATACCTTACTTATAGAACCTGTAATACTATTTTCTTTGGGACAGATTAAATCTTAATTTAGATTTACAGCAGGCTAAAACTGCAGGGCTGAAAAAGGTCTAGATATAGATTTACAGCAGGCTAAAACTGCAGGGCTGAAAAAGGTCTAGATATAGTTTGAAGTGTAAGGGACTGGATGTAACTTGATCCAATCTCACAGGATATCATAATATATGTGAGGGAGGTGGAAAAACTGCAATCATCTATTTTGAGGGGAAAAAATGAAACCTTAAAAAGAAAAGCTAGCAGGATTTTTTTTTATTTTTTTTCGAAATTTGTTAATTTCTCTAGTTTACACAGCAACATTTGTTCACCAGATGCAAGTCTGTGGTAAACGGGTGGTTGAAGTGGGAATAGAAATTGATCTTGACAGCAGACCCGACTCTTGACAGAGAGCTCATGTGGAAAACATTCAGCACCTTTTACAATTGAAAACAAAAGTTTTCAGTGCCTTTTGCCTGGAAGTGATTTTACAAAATTTGTAACCAATAACATCAACAATTACCTAAGCATTGAGAAAGAATGAGAGGCAAATGTGGAGGGAGTTCTAAGGGGCGTTATCTGTAAAAATGGAAGTATGCACCCACAGTGAACTCCAGTCCGTGCATTCCCAAAATTGTTCAAAATATTTTCTTAACATTCAAGTACTATGGCGTTTGTAGTGGCAGTAATGGAAGCAGTGTGCCCACCATAATTTGCCCCAGCTGATCGGCACAGGAACAGCGCACAAGTTAAATCAAAGAAACTGATAGCTTTGAGAATTTGATTGTTAACAAATGTCACCACTAACCTGCATCTGTGTCTTTTTTATTCTGGCAAAATCCTAAAAGTAAGAGCATGGTCGAGCATTTTTTAAAAAGTGATGAGAATTCTAGATATTTTTTTACTGCTTTTAAGATGGTTTTTTGGGCTGTGTACAGTTGATTGACATGTTAGTCAACTTGAGCAGAAAGCCAGGTGGGGCTTGCTCTGGAACTGTTGAAAAGTTAGCATCAACTTAGTGAATGAGTGTTAATTGGTTATGGCTGAGTTACATGGGGCACTGCACTGGGTGATTGCATGAAGTTACAAGGTACATTTGTTGACCAGAACTGGACCTACCAGTGGACGGTTGTGTGTGAAAATATAAACCATGTTGGGACATGTTGATTTACACCATATACCTGTTTTTATGAACCAAAGGATTTTGGCTGCTTTTAATTATAATCCTGTTTATCTTGGTTATACCTGAAGCCCTGAGAGTCCGACATTTTTTTTCTGCCCAACACAAATTTTTCCCAGCTGTATGTAATAGAGTTAAGTTCACCTCTATGTAAAAACCACGTTTCTGCTTGAATGAAACACACTTGAGTTTCTCTTGGATTTTCATTTTGTAAATGTGCTCAGTCCCTACTCCAGGCAGGTCTGTGGTTGGATCTGAGGTTCCAAGAAGAGATTCTTTGGATGTTTTTTTATATGTTGAAATCTATCTGATAAGACGAGAGGATTGATGTCAAACCTAGACAACTGTGGGCTGCAGTAAAATGTGGTGTGCGGGTTGCGCGTGGGGAGCACATGTCCCTGGCTCTTGCCAAGTTCAGAACAATCCAGCCTACTACTCCGCCTATGGCTGGATGGGAAATGTACGTGTTCAGCTAGGTGCAAACGGGCATAAAAACTTGATGTTGTTAAGTGAGGGGGGAAAAAAGAGGGTATGCATTCTCAAGTTTCATGTTATAATGAGGTGACTTTTAAAAGAATGTTTTTGTGGTGTTTCAGAGCGGCAGTCACACCTCACTGCCAGAGGAAAGCAACAAAACAGGAACCTCCACGCAGAGGCAGGACTCCATAGGTGAGTAGTGATGATGTAAACATCACAAACATACATGGACTGACCACAGATTTTGAGGAGATTTTTTATTTAATCTTGAAATTTGATTGCATGTTTGTGATATTTAATTTTTGTGAAAAATTCAGTAAGAAATTATTTTTGTCAAGGTCATAAGTAGAATTTTTATGTTTTTATTTTGTCTGATTTATATATTTGGTTATGAAAAGTCATGGTTAGATAAAATCCTCATGTTTTTTTTTTTTTTTTTAATTTTTCATTTCAAACTTAATTTAAAAGTTTTGACATTTATTTAAATGTTTTATGAGTACTTGGATCAGTGTCAAAGAAGTGGTGTCGTGTAATATTTTAGGTTCAGTTGACAAGACCACAGACGGCAATATAAAAGTAGAGAAGGTAGACAAGTCGGAGAGTAAAGATGCCACCAGTGCCACCGCCAACACGTCATCTACGTCCAGTACATCCAACACATCAAAATCAACGTCAGGTGCACCACCTGCAAAAAGATCACGGTGAGTATGGAGGTGTTATTATTTTCATTATTTTGTTAATACAATATTTTACCAGTTTTTTTTTTTTTTTTTTTTTTTTTTTTTTTGTTATAGATGAGTAAAATTAAGTGAAAGATCTATTGTCTTGTGGTGAAGGTGGCTTGATGTTGACCCCAGTGTTTTTTTTTCTCCCTGTGAACTTAAAAAGAGATCCCAGTTTAAAAATTAACTGTATCTGTCCCATTTTGTTGAAAAAAAAAAGTAATTGGGAATGACTTTATTTGTAGAAAAGTAGATCACGTCTTGATAAAAGCTTATCACATCATTCCACATATATGATATAATTAGGCAACATTTGAAATCAAATTCACAGTAAGATCCTCTATGTGAAAAAATATCTATAACCACATGTTATGCGAATGCTTCTACTAACTTGCACTTCACCCCTGATATATCATGCATATATGAACTGTATGAACCCATGTTTACTAACTTCATGTTTTATCTTTTAGATCCAATGCCAGTACAGAGGGTGGAGCTAGGTGTGTTATACATTTGATTTCTCTGGGAATCGAACGCTGGATGACCGAATAATTTTCACACTGTCAAAATATTTGGCAATTTTGACAAAATGTCACTTTTAAGTAGTTCATAGGTTGATTTTTGGGGTTCAATGAAATTTTGGGTCATGATTTAAAAGGAGTTGTAAAAAGTTTGGTCAAGTATTTTCCTTGCATTATCAGGCCAATTTTGAGTGTGAAAATTAGAAAGACTCATCCTTTGTTTAAATGTTAGTGAATGTGTGATTCTTTACCCTGCTATTAGAGTTATGATATTGTTGTATTGTACCTAAATTATTTGATGCAGTGTGGGGGCAACATCAAGTCAAACGGCACAAAGCACAACATCATTACTATTCTGAAATAGGTTAAAGTCTCAGAATAAATTTATTTTCTGGTTTGGTGTGCACACTAAAAACTTCTTCTTTATGCACTGCTTTCTGATTTGATTAAAAGGTAGTTTTGGGACAGGGTCTCTTTGCCTTGAGTGAAAGTGTTATATGGTTTAGCTCATTTTTGTTCAAATGCTTGTAATTTCAATTTTGTAAGAATTTGAAAAGAAATGGTGGTAGCATCATTTTAAAACTAATATGCAATGTATATTAATTGTAAATGTCAAAATGTAACAATAGTAACATAGTGCCATCTTTCTTTAACATCTAGATAAAAAAATAATAATATGTGGAACTTTTTAGGGTCTCTAGTGAAGACCAACATTATTCAATGCCTCTTTTTCAGCTCGGATGTGGATGAGGATCCGTTAACTAAAGTGGAACGAGAGCGTGTGCGGAAACAAACGAATAATGCGAGGGAAAGGTGAGTTGCTGCGCTATTTAATATTAATTTTGGCATGTAATCTTTTTAGTCCTGCCGCTCCCACTGAAGAAGTGCAGACTGCGCGAAGGCAAGCCAACAATGTTCGAGAGAGGTGAGTTACGGGGAGAAATTGGTGTGCCATGGTCACCTGTGTTTACCACCTGTATAGCATGTTTTTAGGAATTGTCTTTGTTGAACATAGTGTATTACAAGGAAAAACGTGATCAGTTTGAAAATGTTACAGTTCACAGAATCAATGAAATGAAAGGAGGATATTTTCCTGCTTCTCATCTCACATTGTGTGTGTATGTGTGTGTTTTAATTCAAATGATCCAAGACACCCCTGTGACTTTCCATTTTTCCACTTAGAATCCGTGTACGAGATATAAACGAAGCATTCAAGGAACTTGGTCATATGGTGACCATTCACGCAGGCAGCAGTCAGCCTCTTACAAAGCTGATGATTTTACAACAAGCAGTTAATGTTATTACATCACTTGAACAGCAAGTCCGAGGTAACCATTTGAGACATCGCATGTCTCAGTCAAGTAGAACGACAAACTGGCTGTCGAGGAAGTACATACCTGATTGAAAATGATTTTTATTTGTGTGATGGAATCACCTTGCAGAAGTGTCCTCAGAGGGTATGACTTAGGTTTGAGATGTAGAACTTCCTTGACAGCTGATTTGTCGGTTGTACATGGGCTGGAATTGATAAGCCTTCTCTTTGTCTTAGGATTCGGGTCCGTGATATCAATGAAGCTGTCAAAGAATTGGGCCACATGTGCTCATTGCATTTACAAATGGACAAACCCCAGACTAAATTATCAATTTTGCAACAAGCTGTAACTTTGATAACTGCATTAGAGAAGCAAGTGCAAGGTAGGTGGGCCTACCAAAAAACACAACAATTTTTTATGTGCATTCTACAATAGACCAACACCGCACAGAAAAAATTATATGTTAAGGCATGCGATATAGAGAAAAAATGTTATTCATGTTTGGACACCACTTTGTTGTTGTGTAGTTTCATATATGGCTTTGACTTTAGACACCAGTTATACAAATTCTACCTAATGATGAGCACAAGCCCAAGATATTGAAAAAAAAAGGAGAGCTTCATTCATATCACATTTGATCTGAACTTTACTTTTTAGCAACTGCCTGTTGGCAGTGTAGAATTTTCACTTCAAAGAGTACTCTTAATCTCTGAAATCTTTCTTTGTTGCTACCTCTTGAATTACTGATCACCTTTTATTTTCCACTTTCGTTCTATTTTGTAAGTTTTTAACGAGTAGCAATATGTTTTATTGTAATCACATATGTACCCATGTAAACATCCAGGGAAACTAAGGTGGACTGGTGATCTACTCCACAGACACCAAAAGACACCTCAGTCAATTTAATGGATGTAGAAAAAAATGAAAACATTTGATATTGCCATCATTTGCCTAAGACACTCCAATTTTGGAAGGCAGAACAATAAAAAAAATTAAATAAGAAATGTAAAGGGTGACACAGTTAAGCTTGGCTCAACATTATAATGAATTGCATGATAGATAACTGAGTGATTCTTTACTTAGTATTTAGTATAATGTATTTCACTTTACCTCATCGTATTCTGAATGGAAAACATTCTGTTTTTAGTATCATATTAGTTCCTGCCTTTGAGAGTACCCAGTAGAGTACATATTGTTGTGACAAAATTATATGTGGAGGCAGGGGGATGTGTACTATAACATTGATATAACGTCTCATTCCAGAACGTAATTTAAACCCAAAAGCAGCTTGCTTAAAGAGAAGAGAAGAGGAGAAGGCGGAGGAGATGCCAGGACGGGCGCCAGGTCTGGGCCAGGATCAGCTAGGGCCCGGGCTGCCAGGTAAGGTACTGTGCACCGCTTTTTTGCTTTGCTTCAATCTAACCCCCAAAACACCAACCCCCTCCCCAACCCCCTTTCCTGGCAATCAGTCCTGGGGACCTCAGGCTGGCACAATAAGACTGTTCCCCCCTTCAAGCAGGTATTTTTTTTTTTTTTTTTTTTTTGTTGCAAGCAATTGTGAAGACGGGCATGAAGCATGATGGGATTATAATTGGGTGCATGTGTCATGGAGATGATGTGCTCACAAATCTGAAGTAGGGGAAGGTTTTTCAAGATTATATATGTACATTTATCCTAGCTTGCTGCACGTAGTATAAAACAAATGTTGTGTTCAGTCATGGTGTTAATGTTTTAAAATGTCTACATTTTGGCTAATGTGGTCTTTGAAACATGATGTCAGCCATGAGGTAAGGGATTGACCCAGAATTGTGCAAGGGGAGGCGGATGTGTGTATGTATATGTTGGTCATTTAAGACTTAGATATTTTAAAGGTAAAACTTCAAATTATGAAAGCAAAAATCTGAATGCCAGGTAACTTTTTAACTGCCCCATTTTTGTGAAAAAAATTCATGGACATAGTTCATAATTCTATCCTGGCTCATGGAAGGATAAAAATTTTTGCCAAATCCTTAAATACATTGGCTGAAAGTTTCAAATTTTAAGTTTGCAAAGTAAAAACATATTTCATTCAAAACCTCTTATAGGCTGAAATTTTCAGCTAATTTTTGCAAGCGTGAGCTTGACCGTATTTTTCCAGTGTTCGCAAGATGTTGTAATGTGATAGTTGTTAGCCACCATTCAAGGTGTCCTATTTGTAGTAGGGTGGTAGACAGTAGCTCCCCACCTGCAAGACATAACATGCTGCTGCATGTTCTAACACTTTGTTGAAAAAATTTCACACATTGTTGACATGAACTGTGAGGATAATTATCCAACACTTCATTTGTAGTGGGATTGAGGTAGAAACTTCACTGAAAATGTTTTAATAGAAATGCAAGAGCATGGCTCTATTACTTGAAGAAGTTTGATAAAATTTTTGTTAAAGAATTTGGTTCCAAGATGTTGAGATTTTAGGGCGGGGGAAGTAATGGACATAATAACTGTTTAAAAATCAGTAGTGGAAATTTTTTATCAGAAATCATCATTTGACCAACTTTGTTTGAACATAATGCTGATGTCTTGCAGGTCAAGCTGTAGATGTGTTTAGCTACTCTCTGTCACTGACACTGTTTTATATCTATTGCCTTCTAGACCCACGGCTTGACTGGAATGTTTTAACCTACAGGTAATGCGATGAGACGCCGCAGAGCTGCTGGAGGCCTGTTGCCCAGTGATTTGTCCTATGCTCCAAATGCACCTCCTTACATGAGTTTTGTCAATCCTCACAATAACAACATGTTGACTGGAGTGAGCCCACATAATAATAACAACAACAACATGTTGAGTGGGCTGAACCTGCACAATACGGCCATGTTGAGTGAGATGAACTCTGGGGAGGGATTAGAAATGTCAGACAGTAGTTTAGGATCACTCGGTTCCAGTGTGGGAACAGTAGAGACTATGACCCTTCCGGTCAACATGCCTACGTTCACGTCACAGGAAGAGAACATGCCGCCTCCAGAACCCCCACTGTCGCAGCAGGAACAGGCCATGGCGAGCCCAGTGCCCTCTAGTAGCCAAGAGTTAATTTCATTGCCTCCAACGACCTCGGCTGTGGATTCAGTGCACTCCGTCAGCGTACTTTGATTACAGCCTGTAGTCCGTGCTTGAGGTTTTCTTCAAGGGCAATTTATACACAAAATCAGAACAGGCGATGGTCCTGAAAGAGCATCAGTAAGGCTAAGGGGCCTGCTAGACTATATTTATTGTATATTTAGGAAGGCAGAACCATAGTGCTCCAGCTGTGGGATGTCACACCAAGTTGGAACGATAGACATCCTATGTTAATGTAAATAGAGCAGTACTCCAGTATGCTACTCCATTAGTATGTAAGAAAAAAAGTGAAGATGTCCTTCATTACTGTTTTGCATATATCATGAAAAACAGTTAATTAATTTTATAAGAAAATCTTGATCATACAGTTGTGTTATGTATGGTGTATCTTTTTAAAATATGCATTTAGTAGTGTTAGATTGAAATGCCTTACATTCATTAGTTTTATTGGCATTTGCCGATGTTCATACCCCCTTTCTTGTCATCATTATAATGAATGCCTTTAGTGCCCTAAACAATCATGCAATTTGAGCATAATGTATATGAGAGATTTCACTGCATGTTATGTGGAGAGTGGCCTTGTTGAAAACAATTCATCAATCCATCAATATTGTTAACACCATATCTCATCAAAGACCAAGAAAATAAAAGTTTTGATTTTTAGTCATAATTTTTATGGATCATCTGAAAAAAAAAACAGCACTCAGTTGATCCATGTAAGTGGTTTAGATTCCCTCTTTTTTAGTTGTAAGAGAGTTTAAGGAGTTAAACATTTCCCTGTTGTGTTCATTTTACCCCTCCTGGCCCAGGATCCCCCCCCCCTTTTCTTCCCCAAGTTGTTCCTTATCTTGAGATTCAGCCTAAGAGTATGGCATTTTGATGTCAATATTCTGGCAGGAAAAGACTATATATATTAACCTTGCTTCAATCTGCATGTTGTACATTTTCTTTAGAATTACCATTTTATATGCTCTGCAAAGGGGAATTATTTGTGAGTGTAAATGTTTTTAAAAAAATATCTTCCATATTGAATTTTTCATCTATACACATCTTATCCCTTTTACCCAGTATGGATATGTTGATGAGTTTATGAAGCACTCTTTTATGTTGTTTGTGCATTGAAAAAAGCTGCACATATCATTTTATTGAGATACTGTGAAGCTGCATATATAAATATATATATATTAAAATATTTAAAGTACTTTACTGAAAGTGACAATGTACAGGCACCCTAGTATAGCATAGGTTTAGTCAGCATTTGTATCATGAAATGCTTAACTTCTGCTTTGTTACCAGGCACTGTAGACCTTCGACAGAAATACTTAAGTCATGCTGTTACTGTCACTCGGATTATGTTTAGCCCTATGCACTCTAAAATGTTTTTTCTACGACCTGTTTTACAGAATAGCTAGTGAGAATGTGACTTGTCATCAAGGCCTTGTTGGTTTTCATGTTGGGTTTAGCAGGAAAAGTTGGAATGAACTTCTGTTAATCAAATCAAGTTGCAGATATATGCAATGATGAATTTGTAAATTGATATATGCAAAGCTATTATTGTTGTCGCCTGTAAATGTTGCATGTAGAGTAATTTTCAACTAAATTGTGAAGACATATTCTCATCAAACTCCATGTATACATTACACAGGATCTACTGTTGTAGTTTCATTTCAAGCAATTGAGATGCTGAAATAAAAGTGGGTGTGATGTACACCAATAATATGTTGCATTCGATACTTCAGAATTTACAAAAAAATAAAGAACAGTAAAGATTTGCACCTTACACCTACCAAAAGACATCCATAGTCTGTGAAAATAGCTATTGAAAAGCATGTTTTTGCAGGGCTTTGTGTGTATGAGAATTTCAATCTACATTTAAGCACAATTGACAAATGATATTTCCATACCATTGTTATTTGTATTGTATACTAAGAAATGGGAAGAAAGCACTTTTTTTTCAAAAACAAAGAATGTGTCAAGCAACAAAGTGACTTATGAATATAAAATTACATTGTTCTTTGCATTGAACAGACATTAAAGTTTGATAAGATAAAATTTTAATTCAAGGTGCAAGATACAAATTGTTTTTTTTTTCTTTTGTGTTGATGCACATGTCTAGGGCATAGTAGCTGTACATGGAGTTTGTACTGAGAGGTTTCCCTGGTTCCCAACTTTTGCTGTTGTATCCACACAGAGCTAGGGAACAGTGCCTTGGGTGCTTGTGAATACTGCAAGGCTATTTTCTTACTTTGTACACCTGAAAATGGCTCTATACATACTACAACTCAAACCTACGAGTTCCTGTATATATCAGCATCTAGTAAATAAATGTGCCATTTTGAAAGGAAAGGATTGGTGTTTGATGTCTATCTACAAACAGCACGGTGCATGTTAGTAGGCCCATGAGCAAACCTAGCACTTATTTCACTCTGCAACAGTACATATTTAATGCATCTCCAGTGAACCAATAAACAATATAAAATGTCATTTGTGAAAATGCAACCGCTACAAATCGTGGTGAGAGCCGATCAGATTTAAGGATTCAGTAATGTACTCAAATATTCACTTAATAAGCGTAAGTTATTTTTAGTGGTAAATTGCTCTTCCGAACAGTGACTTTGAAACGTAATAATATTACCGTGTCCACACTAACACCCCATTTCCATAGATTTTTAGATCGATCTATCCCTGTGGGGAGTCTCACTAGATTACTGTCAGTTTGGCCAGCTTAAGCGTCTGTCCCGCCTACTAAAAGCTGTAAAGGGGTAATTAACTATGGTGTCCGCTCGGCTGACTGCAATTTAGTCTGAACCCCCAGGGAGTTAGGTCGATCTAAAACTTAATCTTTAGATCGATCTAAATCTCTGGGAAAGCACCTTTAGACCCTACTCCCAGAGATGAGATCGATACAAACTAGATCGACCTAACTCCCTGCGGGTTCACGCCAAATAGCTGTCAGCCGAGCGGGCACGAAAGTTAATTACCCCCTTACAGCTTGTAGTAGGCGGGACGGACATTTAAGCCGGATTATCTGACAGTAATCTAGTGAGACTCCCCACAGGGATAGATTGATCTAAAATCTATGGGAATACGCCCTTAGTTTACAGAGGAGGTACTGACTGGGTGAATGTTGCATTAGTTGCGTACATTTATAACGCCTGTGGGAGGACATTGCAGTGCCATTGTGTTAGGTGAGCCTGGCTTGGTATTGTCAATCAATCCATCTACGAGTCGTTCTACAAGAAAATAATAATAAACAAATAAAGAGTTGACGCACACATCTTGTGTAACTTTTGTATAACATCCAATATAGAAATAGCATAATCAACATGAATTAAAATCTCACATTAAACAGTTACTGACGTGACTCAAAAAGTTCACCTTTTTTGTGGGATGGCCCATACAAGTTGGTCTTTACATTAAACACCAGAGCATCAAATGTCTAGATTGACGCACTGCAGTCGCACAGTAAAGTAACTTTTTTAATCCTCTCCTTCTTTTGTTGTTTTTTTTTTCCTCGAAAAAAATTGGAGGTACAAAACTGTAGGTTAATTTACTGCCGCCGATAAGCAGATTATTTCTTTAAATGTGACAATTATGTGAACGACCATCACCTCTGTGCGTTAGTACTTCTGTGTGAATTTGATTACGTGCAATATTATATTCCTGAGTTAGTGCAACTGTAGAATAAGATAAAGTTTTATTTAGACAATAAATGTATAAAATATACAATATCGGGGAAAAATTGTCGTTTTGAAAAACTTTATAAGTAGTAAGAACGAAGGTTTAGGCTTATTAAAATGGAACACAGCTACATAAAAACCGTTTGTTACCCTTAAAAAGTAAAAAAGCCTAGACTTGCGTGATGAAAAATTTTAAAGTTGTAAGTTGGGTGGAAATCATCGCTCATGTTCTACGTACCGACAACTGGCCGATCATTGATCATTCATTCTGCAACCAGAGCGATGCTTGTGCATCTTAATTACGACCACAGCGATGCCACTTTTATGGTCGCACAAATTACACAGAAAGGAAGCCGACCAGTGTAAAGGGGGCTTAACTAACTTTTTCAATTCGATTTTCTTCCTCTTCAGTACCCCGCCCATACCATTACTATTTACCCATAAAGTTAAAATACCATATAGCACGCCTACACCTGAAGGCCTACTGGATGTAACAGCTGGAGAGGGATTCTTGGGTTAGTTTAGGCTCATTTATTTGGCAATCCACGCTTCTCAATCTTCCTTTTAAATACATATAATACAAAATGGTCTCAATATAATAAAATACTTAAAAGTATGAGTAGAGTGAAAAAACGACATTTATTGTTTTTAAGGTCTGGTTTTTAAATATTGGAAGGCGTGTGCATAAGATTGTGCAGGTTGAAATAATTCACTCTCGACGTTTTGTGTGACATTATACAGGCTCCTTACAACACATGCAGGATGTAGTAGTAGCACTGTGCTAGTCTTTTGTGTTATTTAAAGCCAAACAACGCGGAGTAGAGTGAATAGAGAGAGTGGGGAAAATTGCCTTTTTCAAAATATCCGATGAATAGAACTTATAGCGCACAGTATTAATTTTTTTCTCAGTGGCAATGGTGATGAAGCATTGCTACAATTATTAACCTTATTACCCGAAAGCACCNACAGAAGTAAAAGTTTATAGACAGCCTGAAATGTTAGTCACCCCATTTTATTAATAATATTGTATTACTTCATCTATATTAAACAGGGGCGGATTGAGGCCGTCTTCTGGGTCTTCTAGAAGACGGTCAGTTTTTCAAGTTTACATTGATGGGTATGTAATTTTTTCTGTCGGAAGACGGCCAAAAATGGAGAATGGAACAACAAAGAAAATTAGGAAGACTGTCATAAAATCTCTCTGGATCCGCCCCTGTTAAATTACGTTGTACATTATCAACATTCGTCTTGTGGATTTACTAAGGCTCTGTCACCGGTTATCGGCACAGTAACGCCGCTTTCTTGGTTTTCGTTGATATGAATGTATTATCATTCATTATGCAAATCTTTATGCCAATAAAAATATATGATATCGATAAGTTGACAGCAAAATGTCTGTTTCTCTACATAAGTTTGACCAGACCAATAACCATATAAATGAAAATATATTTGGCATTGTATAACTTCCTCTATTGTGTCACTCATGCCTCAATCCCGATCCTATACATTGCAGTTTGAAATAAAATGCAGGAAAACTTGTCTTCAGTGGATCGTGATTTGAGAAGGAAAGTTCAATCAATGGCTGAGTTAACTTTTGAAAATAATAGTTAAATATCACAGGTGTCCATTAACAACTGCTGTAAAATTAATTTTAAATTCCCATTTAGATAGTATGCATCCGATGTATGTAAAGTAATGTATGAAAATATCAAAGAATTCTAATACCCTCCCACCGTCACATTATTCTCAGAATAAATTTACCAATAGCACATAAAACCAAGCAATCTGGCCCAGTAAAAAATCTTTCCAAGAACCACTTTTTTGGAAATTCCAGTACCAAAATAGTCATCAAAATCCCGCACGCATGACTCATCTTGGGGTTGTATTGTCCCCGCCTGCGGAGGAGATATGTTTTGATGAATCATTTGATGTTTTTCTATACGCGCGAGGCAATCAGCTAGTCGTGTATTGACCTAAAATCTTTTGTGTTTTCCAATATTGAAACAGATCCACTCAGAATTACTCGAAAAATAACGGTTGATTCGTGCTAGCGCGAAGGACGACTAAGCAAAAATTCCAATTGGAAAAACCGAAGGTTATTTTTGCTCTCTGGAAATTTTCCAAACAACATACACTTTCACATCATATAAATACTTGTGCCAGTCACGATCTTCCCAGTCCATTCTGCGAAAGCGATGGCAGCCGTTCAAGACACAACACCTCAAGTTGACGCTCTTTTAGGAAGTCTGTTTGGGAGTGGTCAACCGATAGGACAGCAGCTACAGGTAAGGTCCGTCATAGTTAATCTACAGTTATACGTAATGCGGAATCTTGAAGGGGATAAGGTTCAGCTGTAATATTTTCCTAGTTGAATCTACAGCGTGGCATGAGAGCATATAATTCAATATACTTTCAAATACTATATATTTGGACTGTTAAATTAAACTGTCAGATTTTAAACTGAGCCCATCAGCGGAGCCGATATTGAAGAACGCGCTGCAGGATTATCTATGAAGTGGTGAGACAACCACAGCTGAATCATATATGTTATTTGTCAAATGGGTTATTCAGAGCGAAAAAGAAAATGTTTTGCCATTAATCGATGCCACGCAATTTTAAATAATCTTTGATTATTTGATAAACAATAATAGCATTGTGAAATACACTCACAATCGCCATTACTAAATATGAAAATATGAATTCAATGTGACTGTAAGGTGAGAAAATGGAAGGAGATAAATCGCTAGATGCGTATGTTTATAAATACTCCTATCTCAGGGCTGGGGATTTCCTACAGCAAATCTACTGAAGTCAATAATTTAGCCTTCCAGCATTTACATTATTTTGAGAACATACTATATTTTGAGAACATACTATACATGCTATATATGTGTATATCCCGGTGGGAAATCCCGAGGTCAGAGGTTAAAGTACCCTGATGGACTGATAAGATTGGCCTAGAAGATATGAGGTCTCATACACCTCTTTAGATTGACCCACTGCACGATCGAAATCAGTGACAACATGACTTAGGGCTCATTCCAAATGCAACTTAAGTTCTACGCAGATCGATCCAACTCCGCGGGGACTCTCGCTGAATGCAATCAGATTAACAGATTAATACGCCTCCTTGAGTTTTCAAGGTAGCCTACTTGTATAATCACCAGGTTTTCTGTATTCTACCCGTCGCCGGGAGGAGGCTAGCTAATCTGTCAGTCAGCTACAGACCCCGCGGAGTTTGATCGACCTACGTAGAATGATAGTTTCATTGGGAACGAGTCCTTAGCTGTCAGTTCTCTGATATTCGCCCGCGTATCGTACATGTACACCTTGGCCTGTTCATATTATGCGGAATGTACCAAATTTTGGTAAATTTTAAATGTTATACATATGTTCAAGATTTAAATATATAGACTCTCCGATCAGAAATGTTTGGTCCTTGAATAAGCCAAGGAATAAGTTCATTTAATTATTTAAATAAACTAACTTAAACAAATTGTACCACAAAATATTTCTGTATTATCATATCAACCTAGAACTTACTATCAATGGAATCACTGGTTACGTGATTGACTTTTCATTCATTATAAGCTTTCAACGCACAGAATGCTGAAATGAAAATGTTTAGGTTACATCAAATAGCAATAGTATATTAATTGAAGAAATATGAGAGTATAGAATTCCCTTTGGATTCTATTTAAGGTAATAACAAAGTCTCTTACCTTTTAAGCTCTTTAGCTTGTACCTAGTAGTCAATTTTGTAGTGTCTCGAATAGCACGTCTCTTCATATAGAAGTCCGGCATGTAATCTGTCTATCTGCCTCACTTTCAGTCCTCACACGTGATCTGCCTTTCCAGATTGAGACATAAACATACCCGTTGGCACTACACTCTCCCCCACTTTATCCAAAAAGACTTATCCATAATCACTTGATAAAATCCATAAGATAAAAATACAGAGGAGACAATTTCTATACATCTTCATAGCAAAAGAATTAACTTCTGAAAAGACTTCAGAATTTAGAAAAAGTAGATATAAACCCACCAACGAGAAAGTGAAATTGATATAACAGCTTAATATGATAAGTTAAATAACAATCAGAATCCAATTACACCACAAGAAACTCATGCGTGAAGAGAAACACTACCCGAGAAATTCGTATAGGAACGTGATAGGAGGTATTAATATTCCTTTTCCTAGAAGAAAGATGGATAGGAAGGAATAACAATACCATGGCGTTAAAGTAGAAATCAATCAGGCTTATAAAAGGTTGGCATTGTAACATCTTAGATAAGATGATAAAGAGGCCAACTCTAAGAAATTCCAAGAATTGAACTAGGCTTATGAAAAACTTTCCACAGTGAACATGAGGACAGTTTCAAAAACAATGAAGAGGAGGAGGTTTCACTGTCATCATATTTTATGGAATTGTTTTTCATAACTTAATAAGAAAAAAGTAATCCCTCACCTTTCTAGGAATATACTTTCCATAGTCTGCGTAGGTAGCACTCGCGGACAGTAGTATCGTTCATACACCTGCCGCTATCACGGGACAGGTCGCACTAAGTCTGGCCCGACAAACCCTCAGTTCATTTCTCTGGTGCCAACCGCTCTACGTATAGGCGGTAAGCATTGTTGCTAGCCTTTGCTATGATTTCTTTCCATGATTGTCCTTTGATCACAGATACTGCTTCTGCTACTTGACCTATATGAGCAGGTGTAGTTGCAGCCTCACCTTCTCTTGAAAAATATGGGCTGTCTGTCTCCAATAGCATTCTATTTAATGGCATACTAAACACAGTCTTGTAGGCAGTAGATCTAGTATCACTTTTGAACTGATGTACTGCTCCAGCTATTCCGAAGTAAGTATTCGGAAAGTGTTTTAACCATGACCTCATTAGGTCCATGGATCCAAGGAAGCAATGGCAATGGATCAGCCTTTCCTGACCCACAGCTGGCACCACACGAAGAACATTCAGAATAATTCTCCATGCTGCATCATCGGCTTCATTTGAGTTCCTTAATCCACGGCCATGCAGTACCAGGACTTTTCCTGGTTGAAGAAAAGATAGAGCAATTTCTAAATTTTGAAGTTGCTCATCCCACTTCGAGACCTTACAAGTCATGTCAAATCCAACTTCTCCTAATGCAGCCACCTCTGGTTGAGCCACAACCCTTTGGAAACTGGCCCATTCTTCACTTTTTACTTGATGTTTAGGGTGCATTCCTACAGCAACTACTCCTCCAATTTCCTGAATGCCTTTGCATACCTCAGGACTTGGATACGTTTCAGGATCACAGTATACTGCAGTAAATCCTTTGATTTTAACCCTGCAGCTATCCACTGGAACAGATTCAATAATTTCTTGTAATCCAGCCTCTTTAGGCAATTTTAAGAATTTTTGAGCTCGATCCAGATGGCAATGAGCATCGAATGCATCAGGAATTTGGGACACTTTCCTTATCTCCTCTGCTTCAGGTTCAAACAGCTGTTTAAGCTGTTCCTGTATTTCCTTACTAATCATGGAAAAGAGATCCAATAGTACTCTCCAATTCAAAAGACGTAATGTGAGGCTTTCCTCAGATACGCCCAAATGCTGTCTAAATTCTTCTCTTGCTTCTTTTTCTCCAGAAATGAGGCTTTCCTCAGAATTTCTTATAAAAGCCAATCTGCTCAGGTCAGGTACGTCTTTACGCACACCCATTATCCTGCGAGTTAATGTTTGCAGGGCAGCTACTCTTTGTGTATTAATTTCCGATCCTCGTAACATAGGATGGAAAATAAAAGGTAGATGACATTCAAATGCATGATCAGCTGTATCTGGGCCTTTGCACCAGGACAGCAAACATCCTCTTGTTCTATCTGAAAGCGGCGCTTTCGCAGCTGGTGAACTATGCGTTACCTTCTTTCCTTGGTAATAACCTCCCCGACCTTGTCCATATTCATATCTCCTAGGTGAGGGCGAACTTCTTCTTTGTTTTTTCCATTCTTTATGATAAGGAGAGCCTTTCCTCCCCCTATATGATTTTCTTTCCCCTTCTGTAGATTTACTCTCTCTTGACACTATACCATGTCTGGGCTCATATATAGGCACTATATATTTAGGCAACTCCTTTGAGTGCCCTGCCTCTACTTCCATTTGAATATCTGACTTCTGAGATTCTTTAATCTCTGAAGTTACTTTTGCTGCACCAGTTGATTCAGTTGACTTTGATTTAGCATTTCCTGGAGGCGTTATCCCAGATAATAATGCTTCCTCTTCATCAGAGCCAATTTCCATTTCTTCACCCATAATCACCCTTTGATGAGTTATGGTGGGGTCATCCTTAAGCCTAATGTCCTTTGACATTTCTAGGCCAGTAGACTCTGAACTGGGTCCATGCTTAGCAGGCAATGGAATGTGAAAAACATTTTCACATATCCATTCATGTCGCTCAAAACCAAATTCCCTCAGGTCCCGAGCCACCTGCTTCCTCCAATTATTGTTTTTCTTACCTTTAGCTATATCTAATTGAACTCTGAGGATAGCCTTTGCTTCCTCGAGCATATCACGCGGGCACATAGCTAACCTCTCTGCTAACTTTTTAGCAGAAGAGAGTCTTCCCTGGCGGTTGTCTTCTTTAAAACATTCCACCAGTTTTCTCCAGTCTTCAGCTCTAGGCATCTAAAATATAAATGATTAAGAAATAAATTCACTTAAGTTACTTTTAACCACAAGTAAATAAATTTTCCCAATCCAATAGTTTTACTAACCTAGAACTTTTGCTCTACGTAAACAATCAGGACATTTATATCTATTGATCTCCAAAGCATCAGTGGCTGTCACATTCACACAAGATCCATGATACCATTCACTGCAGAAGTCGCATTGTATCATAAACCTGCCATTCCATGGCTGTCTGCAGTTACAATAAACTCTATCATCACCCCTTCGGGTCACATGACTTTCTGGATTTCTCCTCCAGTGACCAATCCACTGTGGTAATTCCATGTCTTTACATGGTTTAAGTCGGTCATGATTGGCCACAAACACTGCATTTCTAACCTTCACTCGAAATAGATTAGAACTTAATTTAGCTACAATAACCCCAGGTCCTTTCCAAGGTGGACATAATTTTTTACATTTGCCCTTAATATCTGCAGTATCCAATATATAAACTGCATCACCAACCTTAAATGTCCTTTCTAATATCCTGAGATCATAATCTCTTTTCATACGTTTAGTAGCGGCTTGCAGCTTTCTGCGAGCAATTTCATGTGCCTCCTTTATATTTTCAGCTAAC